TGGGTAGGATTGTGAAAGAAGGAATTTAAGTTTATTTTGACTTAAAAGCTGATAGTTTGAACATGTCTGTTGCCTACTTGACTGGAACGGAGATGACTATTCTCTCTGATGTCCATGTATTTAGAGACAGAGAGGCAACTGTCCTATCCTAGTGAGTCCTCCTTGTGGGCTTTTCACTAGATTCTGTGAAAACGAAAATGCCATAGATAATATTGTGTGACTGAAGAAAGGAAGCACCCTGTGGTTTATTTTTAGCACACTTGAGTCTTAATGTGTGATATTTATCATAGTCTCTGTGGATTGACCAAACCACATTCTGCCTGTAGAGCTGTTTTAAAGAAATTTGGAAATTTTTTTATTTTTTCCTTCCAGGCAGTATAACAAGGGGTGGGGGCTTGGGGTGTCTCTTCTGTGGTTCTTACTTGAAGATCATGTTAAATTAACTAGGCAAATCCCAGGGAGAAAGTTCATGGTCTATTCCCTGGGTGGTCATAAGGTGTGCTTACCTCAAATTGTGGCAAGTGGGTCCTTTGGGGCCCTGGAGAGTCATGGTGACAGCAGGAACTTCTTAACTGAGAACAGCCATGTTTCCCATGGAAAGCCCAGGAGAAGAGGAGGTGTCAATAAAGCTGGGAAGTCATCGCCCAGGAATTGTGACACCTCCGTAACAGAGTCACATCTAATCATGGTGAGAAAAATGATGTGCAGATTTGGGGCTTTCTTTTACTTCTTTCGAGGTAGGAGGTGGTTGGTTATATAGGTCATCAGAGAGGCAAAAGGCAGCTACATGTAGTGGTTGAAGCCTGTAATCCCAGCACATAGGAGATGGAGGAAGGGTGGCAAGTTCGAGGCCAGGCTGAGCTACTTGGAGAGACCCTATCTCAAAAATGAAAGTAAAGGGGGAAGAAAAAAATGAGTCTATATCTTAAAGATTTAGCTCCCAGGGCTAAGAGATGGCTCAGTGGTTGAAAACCACTGGCTGCTCTTGGCAGAGGACTGGGTTCAGTTCCAAGACTCACCTGGCAGCTCACAGCTGCCTGAAGCTCTAGTTCTAGGGAATATGACACCTGCTGCTGGTCTGGCAGGGCACCAGGAATGCATGTGGTACACACACACACACACACACACACACACACACACACACACACGCACGCACGCACGCACGCACACATGCATGCACACAGACACACTGGAATTGTTTCTTTGATCTGTTGTTGGTATACAATCTGGGGTAAATAAATTTTGATTCATGTCTCCACTGGAAAAACCCTGGGATGCAATTGTCGTCTTCAACATCATTCTTGCTATTAGACTAGATGAAAGAAAGAGTGAATGGATGCCATGTTTTAACGCTAGGTTTGAAGTTTGGGAAAAGGGACTACTGGGTCTAAAAAGTCCTGCTGAACATCTGAAGTTCTGTTCAAATATGTGCTGACCACCTACTATGGGACAAGATCAAAAGTCTGTGAGTTCTCACTCAGGAGCTCATGTAGTGATGAAATAACTTAATGCAGTCGACTGAAGGTATTGTAAAAAGACACATGGATTGTGATGGGAAAACCCCCCAATCAACAGTAAGTCACCCTGGGCAGTTACTTAGACAAGAGGTTAGTATGCAGGACAAGTGACATTCAGGCCAGAACTTGACACGTAGGTGGGGATTACTGGGCAAAAGAAGAGAAATAGAGTGACAGGAGTGTCATTATGACAACGGGGAAGCATAAGGTCAGTGCAAGATTCTGTGGTGGAAATCAGGCAATGTAAATGCTGAATGTCTAGATTCATTTCCAGATCGTTATGAAAGGGACTGTCATACAAGCTTCTTGGATGATGCTTCCAAAGAAATCTTCATGCTATTCTGGGGGAAGTGTTTGTGATACAGTGTTGAGATAAAAACAAGAGAATAGATACAAATGTTTGCACGAACGATCTCATCCTTTATATATGTAAAAGTCTAGAAGACAGGTGAGTTTGTGAAACATTGCTCATTGTTCTTTTGCAGTTTTTCAACTCCTCTGCAGTTTTTCAACTCAGGCTTTAATGTGCACGCTGTTTTCATAAAGAATGTGAAACCATCATTTTAAAAAGAGTAATTTGGCGGGGTACTGGGGGAGAAGAGACAGGGCTGTGGTGGTACTATCACTTAGTTATCCTGTAGGGCATGGGGGCTGTACCACTGAAGAGCCTGCTGAGATAGAAACTGGCCTGTAGGGTGCAATATTGAGCTTTATCGCTTGTTGATGATTGGCTTTGCGTTTCAAGGGAGGGGTGCACTGTTCTGTTGTCCTAGATCCAGTGAGCCTTGGTATCTGGGCATGCCTTGATCTTTTTTTTTATAAGACTCATACACTTTGTCCTTTCTAGAGTGGCAACAGATTGCTGCTAGGCCCTTGTATTAGTTACTTTTCTCATAGCTTGGATAACACACCTGACAAAACTGACCGGAGGGAGGAAGGGTTTATTTTGCCTTACAGCTCAAGGGTACAGTACATCACGTCTGGGAAGTCACAACAGTAGGAGCTTGAGGTAGCCGGTCAGTGGATCTGCAGTCAGGAAACGCAGCTATGAACACAGGTGCTCAACTCATTTTTATTTTGTCCATTTTTGGACCTCAGTCTGTGGAATAGCACTGCCCACATTTGAGGGGAGTCCTCCCACCTCAGTTATCCTAATCAGTATAACTCCTCAGGGACACACTTGATGATTGCCACTTGGCTTGCCACTTGGGTGGTCCTAGATCCAGTCAAACTGACAATATGAGCCATCATAATACTTGAGCTATGTTTACATGAACAAATGTTTCTATTTTGTTCTTCTGGACCTAATTTTATTTGCATATGTCAAATATACCAATGGCCATGCAAGAGTGACTCTCTCATTCCACACCCCAAAGAGATATCTATTAGTGTTCAGGGACAAAGGACACCTGCATTTTAAAGGGGGCAAATGAAAAAGAATTAAGAAAATTTACACTTTAAGATACTATTGTGGAAAGGCCTGGAAACTTTAGTGTTATAGCTAAATATCCCAAAAAGTAAAGGTGAAAGGATCTCCTCTCTCTCACACACAGAGAGAGAGAGAGAGAGAGAGAGAGAGAGAGAGAGAGAGAGAGAGAGAGAGAGAGAGAGAGAGGGAGGGAGAGAGAGGGAGGGAGAGAGAGAAGCTACTTCTTAGGATTTTCTTTGACACTGAAATCTAAGTCACATTGGTATGTGTGTCACTATTTCTAACCTGGTAAATATTAATCAACTCAGTAGAGGAAAGAGTCAGGGATGCAAATTCTCACAGTAATGAGAGAATCTTAGTGTCCTGGCTAGTTTTATGTCAGCTTTACACAAGCTGGAATATTCAGAGAGGAGGGAGCCTCAACTGAGAAAGATCCAGTTGCAAGACATTTTCTTTTCTTTCTTTTGTGTTTTTATTAATTTAGTTGTACATCCTGACCACAGTTTCCCTTCTTGCTCTCCCCCATCTCCTCTTTCACACACCCCCCATCCATTTCTCCTTTGTTTCTGTTAGAAACGGGGAGGCCTCCCATGGGTATCAACAAAGCAGGGTATATCAAGTTGCAGTAAGATTAAGCACTTCCCCTTGAATTAGGGCTGGGCAAGGTGATCAGATATGAGAAATCAGTTCCCAAGAGCCAACCAAAGCTTTAAGGGACAGTCTCCTGTCCCATTGTTAGGAGTCCCACAAGCAGACCAAGCTACACAGCTGTCACTTGTGTGTAGAGGGCCTATGTCTGTCCCAGGCAGGCCCCTTGGTTGTTGGTTCAGACTCTGTGAGTTCCTATAAACCAGGTTAGTTTCTGTAGGGTTTTTGTGAAGTTCTTGTCCCCTCTGGTTCCTACAAACCCATCCTTCCTCTCTCTCTCTTCATCAGAATTCCCTGAGCTTAGCCTAATGTTTGGCTGTGGGTCTCTGCATCTGTTCCCATCAGTTACTGGATGAAGGTTCTCTGACGACAGTTGTGCTAGATACCAATCTGATTACAGGAGATGACCGGTTCAGGTCCCCTCTCTGCTACTGCTGGGAGTCTTAGCTGGAACCATCCATATAGAATTGTGGGATTTTTTTCCCTTGCATCGGGTTTCTACCTGACCCCTGACCCCCAAATATCCCCCCTTCCCAGTCATCTCTTAGTAATCTCCTCCTCCATACACCCCCTAACCAGATCCCTCTGGTTCCCATCTCTACCCACCCACAGTCCACCCAGGAGATCTCTTCTGTTTCCCCTTCCCAGGGAGACCCATGTGTCCCTCCCCACACCTTGTTACCTAGTGTCTCTGGGTCTGTGGATCGCTGCATGGTCATCTGATGAGAGAGGTCAATGCAATAAGGAATATAATATTTTTATTTACCAGAATAAGAACTTACACACAAAGGATGGAGAGTCAGAAGTGCATCCGTCTTCCGGAGGAGGAAGGAGAAGAAGAGAGAGTCATTTCTCTTTTACTTCCTTTTATCCTAAATTTCCTTATCCCCACCCCTAGGGCAGATAGCTTTATGGGGCTCATCCCTACAATTCCCCTTTTAGTCTAAATAGAAGATTTAAATTTGATACAAATTCAAACATATACAACAAATACACATAGAGGGTGATAAGTAAGTTATAATCAAGATCGGTGGGACTAGGAGTCCAGAAGGACTCTGGGAAGGAGAAACACAGGAGATTCAAGATGTAATCACCATGGGGTAGGAGCCCAGAACTATTCTCCGGTAAAAGACATACTTAGACTAACAATTATGGGATAATTACTTAAGTCAGAGCTAGCCAGTAAGAGACAAGCAAGGCCAACAGCTTCATAATTAATACAGCGTCTTGTGTGTTATTTGGGGACTACAACCTGGCAGAGCCCAGGCGACTGGCGGGTGATAAACCAAAGTGGCTAGCAAGGAAAAGCTTCTCTTTACAATCTACTTATATCCTATGCTAAACATATCCATTCCATCTAAATTCTAAACTTATCTGAAAGGGATGCTCAAGTCTGAACACCTCTTTCCAATCCCAACCCTAAAATAATTGAAAACTAACACTAACAGGTGTAAACTATCCTCTAATATCAATAGTAGGGTGAGGGGGCGTGGAATTCTCAAATTTACTTCCCGTTGAGGTGGGACGATGACAATTTCATGGGGACCTGTGGAAAAACAATGATAGTACAACAAGAGTCTTAAGTAGGTTACTTAGTCTCTGTTTGGCAGGAGATGCTTGGTTGAAGTTCTTGATTGGAGTTCTAATTTTGATTGAAGCTCTTATTTGAAGCTCTGGTCAGATTGTAGAAGATGTATCCTATCAGTTCCTTATTCTGGAGCTGTGTTGAGTGATGTAGTCCTAAACCCGTTTCAGGATGGTGTTTGTCTTTCCTTTTATGAGGTCTCCATACACATAGAGGCATACAGTAGAATGTGACCTTGTAGATGAACTGTCATCTTTCTTCCTCCTGAGGTTTCTTCTGTTCAGATAGACACTTGAATAACTTTGATGGACTCCAAAGTTTTTCTTCTCCTGTGGAAACAAAAGCAAAACCCTTTTCTCAGCATAACACATATCCTGGCTTCCAGACTGAGTCATAACATCTTTAAAATATACCAGTTGGTTTAGCTCAGAAGTTTTCTCTGTAGTCCAGTGTCTTTATGCAGCAGTTTGTCCTTTTTCATTAGCATTAAGAAAATTCAACATTAGTAAAGCATTATGTAACCTGTGTTTGGGGGTAATTGTTGCCCCTGGTTGTTTATAAAGCATTTCTTTTAGGGTTTCGTTAGATCTTTCAACTACTGCTTGTCCTGTGGGATTGTAAGGTATACCAGGCACAAGTTTTATATTATAATATTTGAAAAACTGTTCCAATTTGCTGGAGACACAAGCTGGAGCATTATCAGTTTTTATTTGTGCAGGCAAAACCATAACAGCCATAACCTCTAAGAGGTGTGTAATAACAGAATCAGCTTTTTCAGAGCTGAAGGCAGTAGCCCATTGGAAGCCTGAGAACATGTCTATGGTATGGTGTACATATTTCAAACTGCCAAATTCTGGGAAGTGAAATATGTCCATCTGCCAAATTTCATTTATGTGAATACCTTTGGGATTACTGCCTGCTGGTAACAGAGTTTGATTGTAGAATGAGGAAGTGAAGCAATTTTTTTGTACGATTTCCTTGGCTTGTTGCCAGAGGATAGAAAAATCCTTCTTTAAATCTTTGCTGTTAACATGGTGTTTCTTATGAAATTCTTAAGCTTCCAACAGAATACCTATTAATAATCAATCAATTTTATCATTGCCTTGTGCTAAAGGACCTTCCAGACCAATAGGGGATCTGATGTGTGTTATGTATATATAGGATGAGTTCTGTTTCTGATGGTTTCCTGTAGTTGTAAAAACAATGAGGTTAATTCAGTGCCATCATGAACAAATTCTGCTGTCTCAATATGCAAGACAACTCTCTTTGCATACTGAGAATCCGTGACTATATTTAGAGGCTCTGTAAAGTCTTTACGTACCATGAGAATGGCATACAACTCTACCTTTTGTACAGAGTTGTAAGGGCTTTGAACTACTTTACTTATATTTCCTGATTTATATCCTGTCTTACCTGATTTGTTTGCATCCGTGTAGAAGGTAAGAACTCCAGAAATAGGTGTTTGTCTCACAATACACAAAAGAATCCAAATTTTTTCTTTATGAATTTGATTCTCCCTGTTTTGGGATAGTTGTTACTAATAGTTCCCAAAAAGTTACTGCAAGCTATTTGCCAATACTCATTATTCTTCCTTCCATAAGGAGAAAATTTCCTCATGAGTTAAAGGTACAATAATTTCTGCTGGGTCTCTTCCAGTCAGTTGATGGAGTCTTAACTTACCTTTTAATATTAAATCAGAGATCTTTTCTATATATGTTATCAGTTTTTATTCTGTTTATATGGCAGAAATATCCATTCTAGTATTTTTTTTTTGGTTTTAATGTATTTTTTGGTTTCTCTGTATTGTTTTGGAGGCTGTTGGTCCAGCCTGGCCTCGAACTCACAGAGATTCTCCTGCCTCTGCCTCCCGAGTGCTGGGAGTAAAGGCGTGCGCTAACACCACCAGGCCCCATTCTAGTATTATGTCTTCCCTCTGCATTAATATTCCTGAGGGGTATTCTCTAGATGGTAAAATAACCAGCATGCAGTCCAGTTTTGGATCTACATGTTCCATGTGTGCTTCTAATATTATCTTTCTACCCATTCTAATTCTTTTTCAGCCTTAGTTGATAGTAGTCATAGACTATTTAGGTCCTTATCTCCTTTTAAAGCCATTTTCAGATGTTTTAAATCATGCTATTCTACTCCAATAATTGTCTGTGATTGAGAGATTTCTCCTAGTGGTTTTTGAAGATCATTAAGAGTCTGGTAACGATCTCTTCTGATCTGTACTTTCTGCGGTTTAATTTTCTGGTAGTCTATTTTATAAACAAAATAATTGCATTTTTTTTCTGGGGCAATTTGTAATCCCCAGTGAGGTAAAGTTTCCTTTACTGTTTCAAACATCTTTTCCATAGTATCTTCATTTGAATCAGACAGTAATATGTCGTCCATATAATGATATATTAATGATTGTGGAAATTGTTTACAAATTATTTCCAGAGGTTTATGCACATAATACTGATACAAAGTCAGGCTATTTAAAATACCTTGTGGCAACACCCTCCACTGAAATCTCTGTACTGGTTGAGAATTGTTATAGGTAGGTACAGTGAAGGCAAACTTTTATCTGCCTTTTTCTTGTAATGGTATGGTGAAGAAGCAATCTTTTAAATCTATGACTATAATTGGCCAATCCTTAGATATTAGAGAAGGTAGTGGCATCCCAGGTTGTAGAGAGCCCATAGGCTGAAATACCTTGTTAATGGCTCAGTAACCAATCTCCATTTCCCAGACTTCTTGATAACAAAAAACAGATGAATTCCACACACTAGTTGATTCTTCAACATGTCCAGCATCTAGCTTTTCCTGAACTAACTAATCTAAAGCCTCTAACTTCTCAGAGGTCATAGGCTATTGACCTACCCAGACAGGTTCATCTGTTAGCCATTTTAAGGGTAGAGCTTTTGGTTGCTCTGCAGGTTTGGCATTAGCATCCTGTTTCTGTATAGCCTGTATGTTTGGTTTCTGTTTTCTGTAATGCCTTACAATATTTCTTCTACTATCAAGAGCTTATCTATGATTCACATATGATACAGGAGGAATGTTAATTTGGGTAGTCCATTGCTGTAAAAAATCACGACCCCAGAGATTCATAGCAATATCTGTGACATATGGCCTCAAATCTCCTCTCTGCCCTTCTGGTCCAATACATTCTATCCATTGTTTCACATGAGATAAAGTCCCAATTCCTAGAAATTGAACATTTACTTCTTTTAAGAGCCAACCTACAGGCCAGTTTTTCTGAATTATTATTGTTACATCTGTTCCCGTATCTAGGACTCTGTGAAATACTTTTTTATTCACTTTTTAAAGGTAATTTAGTTCTGTCACCTTCTACAGAAGTTTGCCAGGATATACGTTTTTTTGTTTCCTCAAGTATCAACAAGCTCCTCCTCAATAACTAATCTGTTATCCACAGTGCCATTAGTCTTTACAATAGGCTGTGGATTTTCTAATTGTCCGGAGGGAGGCTGTCCTCCATTGTTACTGGGAAAGACTGAACCACCTTTGATCTGGGGGCCTCTACAATGCCCCTGGACCCGTTTCCCAGCTGCAAAGGCTTACCTTATCTGTCTGTGGTCAACCAGCATTCCTTGGTTCAGTGTGTGTCTTTGCTGCACCTCTTGCATAGACCAGAAGGCTGAGGCCTTCTGTTTGAAGCATTTCTGGTAGAAGCATTATTTCTTGGAATGCTTTGTCTACAGTTCCTACACAAATGTCCTAGTCTACCACAATTAAAACATCTAGGGTTTTGACGTCTTTTGAAACTTCTGGAGATTGCTTCCCCAATGCAGGTCTGTATCTCCTCATGGTTAGGCCATTTTTCATCTTGATTCATCTTAAATCCTTTAGAAATGGCCTCTCCTACCCAGGTTCCTGTCTCTGCATCATCATACTCAATATAAGCTGTATACAAGACCCATTCCTCCAATGGTGCTGATCTGATCTTTAATGGCCACAGCATCTGTTTGTATTGTGTGTTTGCATTCTCATAGGCCAAAGATTCTGTAAGAAGTCACCTGTTTGGATCAGTTATCTTTAAGTCTATTGCTTTGTATAATCTTTGTAAGACTTCAGACAATCCTTCTTTGGATGCTGTATCACTTTTGAATATGATTCAAGTTTTTCTCCTGGTTCACGAACCTTATTCGAAGCATTCAGTGCCGTTTTTCTGCATAAATGAAATGTATGCTGATCATAACCAGCTTGGATCTGTGGGTCAGAAAATTCTCCCTTCCCAATAATCTTACTTTGGGAAGCTTCAAAACTGTACTTCAAACCTTGAAGTTCAAGGATCTTGGCTTCCTGTCTCCACAAAGCTTTCCATTGTATTTGAGAAGACTGGTCCAGCACCGCTGATATTCAATAATGCCAATCTGAGGGAGTGATTTTATTTTTTTCTGCCCAGGTGCTTAATAACTCTTTAATGTAAGGGCTGTGGACCCCATAAGCCACCATAGGTTTTTAATTTCCTTCAATTCTTTTATGGTAATAGGTCCCCATTTATGTGTAGAGGAACCAGTTTGGTCCTCTGTGATGCTAGACTTCCTGTCATAGTTACTGGAAAAGCCACCCTAGGAAGGCCTCTTGGCCATCTAGTAGCTATGCTTCTTTCATTTCCAAGTAGCCTAGCATCTAATGCCTCAGCGTCTGATGTTTCAGATGGTGAACCTTCTAAAGATTAAAATTTTGTGACCATGTCATCTCTGAGGTCTTGGATTTCTTGAATTAAAAATTGTTCCAATTAAATACTCTCCTTGAACTGTTCAGTTAGGTGTGATTCCAAGCTTCTCATACCATCATTTCTAAAGGCTCTAAAGGCATCTATCTTGCATTCCAGAAAACATAGTCGGTCTGCTAGATGGTCATTGTTGTCAGACACAGATTGAATTCACCCTGCTAATTTGGAAAGTTCCTCTGGTCTAGCCTCTATCTTAGCCATAAATGCAGTGGACATTGAATTAAATGTGTCTTGAAGGTTGTTCTGATTAAATTCCAAATTATCCACTTGGTAACTAAGTCCCCTTTCTCCTGATTTTTTACTATAATTTTTGAATCATTTGTACAATTTATCTACTATCTGTCTGTTTGCCATGCGATTACATGTATTAACACACTAATCATGAGCATGGTGCACAAATACATATGAAAAATATCCTAACTGTCCATTACTGAAAAACCCATGACGTTGGTAACAAAATCTCTAAAATCCTGCAGTGTTAAGTTACCTGCCATGTTATAATTAGATGTTCTTACCACAAATTAGTAATTCTTGAAATGGAAAAATCACCTCTAGTTAGTTTTTGTCTATGAAATTAAAATACCTGTAGTTACCACGTTTGGCCATCAGATGGCGGAGGTGTACCGCCAAACACGGCTTCTCCGTGTTTCTAAAAGAAACTGTGAAAGCTTAGTGCACAGATTTGGGGACAAAGAGGGCTTGGGGAAGTTGAGGGACATGCAGCGCTGTAGCAGAACTTGCGGTGGCTGTAGTAGCCGCTAAGCCAACGGGAGGGAGAAGCGGGAAAGCACAGATTTTTGGGTCGCTGATGGCTGGGAGCACGCGGTGGAAGCTGCAGGCTTGGGCTCAGACTCCTAAAGTGGGGAGATGAATGGCGCAGTTTCTGGTGGCCAGGGAAGCCGCTGGAATGCCGATGAGCACTGACCTCAGTTCCCGCTGGCTGCTCTGCACGGTTTTGGCACACACCACAGAGGGCTGATGTTCTTTGGCCGGGCTGTGGCGCAGTGGGCGCTTGGGCGTGCAGGTGGGGGGTGGCACTCACCTCGGGGACTGAGTCAGCTGGCTGGCCTCTGGTCATAGAGGCTTGGGTTTTAAATCACTTCTGCCACCAGCTGTTGAGAAAGGTCAATGCAATAGTGAATGCAGTGTTTTTATTTACCAGAATAAGAACTTACACACAAAGGACGGAGGGTCAGAAGCATGCCTGTTTTCCGGAGGAAGAAGGAGAAGAAGAGAGAGTCGTTTCTCTTTCACTTCCTTTTATCCTAAATTTCCCTAACCCCGCCCCTTGGGCTGATAGCTTTATGGGGCTCATCCCTACAGTAATCCTTTACTTTAGGACTAATATCCACTTATGAGTGAGTCTGCACCATGTTTATCTTTCAGGGTCTGGGCTACCTCACTAGGGATGATTTTTTTTTTCTAATTTCATCCATTTGCCTTCAACTCTCCTACTGCCATTGTTTTTAACACCTGAGTGGCACTCCATCGTGTAAACATACCACATTTTCTTTATCTATTCTTCAGTTGAGGGTCGTCTAGGTTGCTTCCAGGTTCTGACTATTATGAATAAAGCTGCTATGAATATGGTTTTGAGCAAGTGTCTTTGTGGTATGATAAAGTATCCTTTGGGTATGTGCCCAAAACTAGAATCACTGGGTCTTGAAACAGATTGATTCCTACTTTTCTGAGAAATTGCCATGCTGATTTCTAAATTGGCTGTCCAAGTTTGCACTCCTATCAGCGATGGAGGAGTGCTCCCACCAGACATTTTCTTAATGAGTGATTGATGGGGGAAGACCTAGACCATCCTGGGTGGTGTCATCCCTGGACAGGTGGGTCCTGGCTTCTATAAGAAAGCAGGCTGTTACAAGATAACTCAAAAAAATCAGTAGCTCTACTATATATAGACAATAAATAGGCTGAGAAAGAAATCAGAGACGTATCATCATCCTTTACAATAGCCCCAAACAACACAAAATATTTGGGGTAACCAAGCAAACAAGTGAAAGACCTGTATAACAAGAACTTTGAGTCATTAAGAAAACAAATTAAGCAAGATATCAGAAAATGATAAGATTTCCCATGCTCTTGGATAGATAAGATCAACAAAGTAAAAATGGCAATCTTGCCAAAAACAATCCAGAGATTCAATGCAGTCTCCATCAAAATACCAGCACAATTCTTCACAGACCTTGAAAGGCCAATAATCAACTTTCTTTGGAAAAACCAAAGACCCAGGATAGCCAAAACATCCCTGTACAATAAAGGAACTACCGGAGGCGTCACCATCCCTGACTTCAAGCTCTGCTATAGAGCTATAGTCCTGAAAACAGCTTGCTATTGGCACAAAAACAGACAGGTAGACCAATGGAAACGAATCTAAGGCTCTGATATCAACCCTCACACCTTTGAACACCTGATCTTTGACAAAGAAGCTAAAACTATACAATGGAAAAAAGAAAGCATCTTCAACAAATGGTGCTGGAGTAACTGGATGCTGGCATGTAAAAGACAACAGATAGATACATGTCTATTGACATGCACAAAACTTAAGTCCAAATGGATCAAAGACCTCAACATAAATCCAGCCACACTGAACCTCTTAGAAGAGAAAGTGGGAGTTGCCCTTGAACAAATTGGTATAGGAGACTGCTTGCTGAACATAACACAAGTAGCACAGACACTGAGATCAAAAATTAATACATGGGACCTCCTGACACTGAGAAGATTCTGTAAGGCAAAGGACACAGTCAACAAGACAAAACAGCAATCCACAGAATGGGAAAAGATATTCACCGACCCCACATCTGACAGAGGGCTGATCTCCAAAATATACAATGAACTCAAGAAGTTAGTCACCAAAACACCAAAGGTTCCAATTAAAAAGTGGGGTACAGAACTAAATAGAGAATTCCCAATAGAGGAATCTAAAATGGCTGAAAGACACTTAAGAAAGTGTCTTAAGAAATGCAAATCAAAACAACTCTTGCACCTGTCAGAATGGCTAAAATAAAAAACACCAATGACAGTTTATGCTGGAGAGGATGTGGAGAAAGGGGAACACTCCTCCACTGCTGGTGGGAGTGCACACTTGTACAGCCACTTTGGAAATCAGTGTGGCGGTTTCTCAGGAAAATGAGAATCAGTCTACCTCAAGATGCAGCAATTCCACTCTTAGTCATATACCCAAAGATGCACATTCATACAATAAGGACGTCTGTAATAGCTAGAAACTGAAAGCAACCTAGATGCCCCTCAACTGAAGAATGGATACAGAAAATGTGGCGCATTTACACAATGGAGTACTACTTAGTGGAAAAAAACAATGGAATCTTGAAATTCGAAGGCAAATGGATGGCACTAGAAGAAGCCATCCTGAGTGAGGTAACCCAGTCACAAAAAGACAAACATGGTATGTAGTCAATCACATGTGGATATTAGACTTAGAGCAAAGGTTAACCCGCCTACAATCCATACCACCAGAGAAGCTAGGAAACAAGGAGGACTGTAAGGGAGACATACATGGTCTCCAGAGAAGGGGAAAGAGACAAGATCTCTTGAGCTAATTGGGAGCATGGGGGGAGGGGAGAGGGAACTAGGAGAAAGAGGAGGGAAGAAAAGGAAGGGGGAGGAGAACATGGGAGACCAGGAGACCAAGGGAAGAATAAAGGAGAACAAGAAAGGAGCTATCTTAATAGAGAGAGCCAGTATAGGTTTAAAGAGAAATCTAGCACTAGGGAAATATCCAGAGATCTACAAGAATGATGCCAACTAAGTATCTAAGCAATAGTGGAGAGGCTACCTTAAATTCCCTTTCCCTATAATGAGAAAGATGACTACATTAAATGCCATCCTAGAGCCTTCATCCAATAGCTGATGAAAGCAGAAGCAGACATCCACAGCTAAGCCCTGTGCCGTACTCCTGGAATCCAGTTGCAGAGAGGGAGAGTGAGGAGTAAACTGTTCAAGATCAGGCTGGGGAAACCCACAGAAAAGCTAACCTGAACAAGGGGGAGCTCATGGAACCCGGTCTGATAGCTGAGGAACCAGCACAGGACCAAATCAGGTCCTCTGAATGTGGGAGTCAGTTAGGAGGCCTGGGCAGTCTATGGGGCCTCTGGTAGTGGAACCAGTATTTATCCCTAGTGTATGAATAGACTTTGGGAGCACATTTGCCATAAAGGGATACTATCTCAGCCTAGACACACAGGGGATGGCCTAGGCCCTGCCCCAAATGATGTGACTGACTTTGATGATACCACATAGAAGGCTTCACCCTTCCTGGGGAGCAGAAGAGAGATGGGATAGGGGTTGGTGGGAGGCATGGGAGGATGGGAGGGAGAGGGAACTTGAATTGATATGTAAAATAAGATTGTTTCTAATTTAAATAAAAGAAAAAAGAAAAAGAAGAAAGTAGGCTGATTGGAGAGATGGCTCAACAGTTAAGAGCATTGGTTGCTCTTCCAGAGTTCCTTACTTAATTCTCAGCAACCACATGGTGACTCACTATCCCTATAGTGGGATTTGATGCACTCTTCTGGTAGACAGAACACTCATATCTAAAAAAAACAAACAAACACACACACACACACACACACCCCACAAAAATACATATAAGAAAGCAGGCTAAGGAGGCCACGATGAGAAAGCCAGTCAGCAGCACCCCACTACGGCCTCTGCACCAAATCCTGCATCCAGTTTCCTGCCCTGTTTGAGGTCGTGTCCTCCCTTTCTTCAGATGAACAGTGCTGTGGACGCGTAAGCTAAACAAACCCTTTCCTCCCCAACTTGCTTTTGGTCATGGTCAGCAATAGTAACTCTAACTAAGGCTGTTACACTACCCCACACATCTTATCACCTGATGCCTGGTAGGATGCAGCCAGTCTCCAAGGACAGATGCTGCTTATCTGTCTGTCATTTCTCCTCAGGAAAATGCTGGTCACCAAGGTGACCATCACATTGTCTACAGTTCATCCTCAGTCCCAAGCATGCGTGGCAGAATTTTACTTAGAGAAAATCGTACATGTGGTAGAAAGGAGAATTTGGGTATTTCTTCCAGTTGCCTCAGCTGCACAGGGGCCAGTGTGCTCCTCTCTAGAGCCCAAGATATCCATAAATGGTGACTGTCAGGCTGCAAAGATACATGACCTCGCCTGCTATTATGGGCTTTGTTATCCTGTTGTGATGTTAGTTTGAACCATCACAATCTAGAATCACCTGGGAAGGGCACTTCAATGAGGGCTTATTTGAATTGGGTTGACCTGTGAGCATGTCTGTGGGAGATTGTCATGATTGATTCCTGAGGTGGGAAGGCATACCCTGAATGTAGGTGGCACCATTCCATAGCCAGGGCCCTGCTCTACTTATAAAAGAATGAACTGAGCACTAGCAGGCATACATGACTCTACTACTCTCTTCTTTTGACATACCTAGAAAGAGGTAACCTCAATTGAGTAAATGCCTCCAGCTGATTGGCCTATGGGTCATGTCTGTGGGAGCATTATCTTGATTTCTAATAGATGCAGGAGAGCCAACTTCTATTAGAATACCATGCAGGCAGAATCCCAGGGCCTGGGCTACATAAAAAGGTAGTTAGTATAAACCTAGGAACAAGCCAATAACAGCATTTCTCTGCAGTATCTGCTTTGGTTCCAGTTTCCAGGTTCTTGTCTTGAGCTCCTACTTTGGATTCTCTAGATGATGAACAGTAACCTGTAAGCCAAATATGCCCCCATGCCACTGCCTTTGGTCATGGTGTTTATTACAGCAACAGACATCAAACTAGAACACAATAAGCAGCAACTGTGACCCAAAATAAACCCTTTCTCCCCTATATTGCCTTTGCGAGGATGTGTTTTCCATAGCAACCAGACAGGCAACTAATACACCGGGCTTCCTCCTGGGTTACTCAAGCTGGTAAGGACTGTCAATCCTCCTGCCTCATGCTCTCAAGTGCTAGGGTTGTAGGCACGTGTCAACGTTTGTTGAATGACTCTACAGTGGCTTCCTCTTACTTCTGACTCAAAGTGTTCAAGGTGGCTTGCCCAAGCTCTTGTAGCCAGTTAAGCCACTGAGTTGGGACTAAGGCAGCTTGCTCCAGACAGCCTGTGAGATGCCGTTTCTCACTTTGTCATCTCAATGTTTCTGTTACAAGTGTGCCATGACCTTATTATTCTTTCCCCTTTTAATGTAACGATGCAAGCATAGATCCAGGGATTTTTCCTTGTGTCAAGTTTTGATTCTCAGAAAGCCAGGAATGTCCTTTCCCTTAAGAACAACAGACTTTTCAGACCAACTGGGCAGGCTAATGTTAAATGCATAGGTGTCTTTTCCCAGACAGAATACACGACGGAGGATGGAAATTTCCCAGACCCAAATCCCAGAACACAGACCGAGCTCTCTCCTCTCTCCTTGAGAGGAGAACATGTAAAATTCATATTCACCTTGTCTGGGTCCTGGCATAGTAAAGATCTCTGTGGCATGAAAGACGGTGTGGATGCATTGTGGTGTGAACACGTGAGTATAAACTGTATTTCTTTAGGATCTTAGAACTTTATCTTTTGAAAAGAAGTCTAATTCCTGTGAGCCTAGTTACAACCCAAGCTTATTCTCTGTACTTTTCATATGGGGGGAAAATAATATTCATATGTAGTGCAGTTTTCGGAACAGTAGTTTTAGTAAAGAACACATCAACTATATTTATGGGTATTTGACAATATTAAATGCTCACCTTCATTCTTTGATTCCCTTGCTTTTTTTAAAAATGAAAGTTATTAAAGGTGAAGACTTTACTTTGGAATCTAGCAAAGGTTTCCTCCACAGAAAAGATACCCATCTCAACTCGCTTTTCTCCATTTCAAACTTTAAAAATGACATTTCGAAACACGGATCCATTCACATCCCTCCCTCCTGAAGCATCCCTGACAGCGCCTGCACAAAGAAAACACTGACGTCCCATCCGATTCCATTTACATCCTCCTTGAGGCTGGTTTGTATTTCACGGTGCATCTCCACCCTCAGTGTTCAAAAGCTTCTGCTCGGGGAGCCTCGGGATCCCTAGATGAGAGGCATGCAAACCCAGGTCTTTCCATGGTGTAGCTCTTTGTGAGGTTGACTGACGTAGAGAGCACGCGCTGCTGTAATTCTGGTCCTGCATCCCTTCCTCCTCAGCTGGCTTCTTGGGATGCTCCGGTCCCCTCGTCTCTTCCCTTAGCAGCGCACCGAAGTTCCTTCCTGTTAGCACTCTTTCATGAGCTTGCATTCTAGAACTGGTTCGTCGCTTCCACAGTGCCAACTCGGCCCTTTTGACCACTCACACATCTGGGAGAAGCGGTCAGGCAGCCCCGCTGCTGCCCCCTTCCCGCTCCCCCTGTGTTTTTCTCATGCCTGGAGTCTCCCCCCAAGGGCCCCAAGCTCCCAGCTACAGAATGCATGGCAAAGTCACCGTGCTCCCTGTTCTCATTAGAGGGCTAAGCTGTGGGATTCTGCTACTCACTGCGAGCAGCTGCAGAGCTCAGAGCTTGGCTTGGCTTTCCTCCTGGCAGGTGCCCCTGACCCTGGTCTTAGAGGGCTGGTAGCACCGGAAGCCGCTTTCTCTTGAGGGTTCCCCTTTTAGCTTCTGTTCCCTGAGAAATAACGCGTGTGTCATTCTACAGAGTATTCCCAGTGGTCATTCTAGGAAGTAAGGGCACCAAGACCTATTGCCCTCAGTACTGAAGCTTAAAGTTTAAAATTCTGAGGTCGAAAAGCAGCGTTTCCTAGCCTACCATCACATGCCTCAGGACTGAAGGTACAGTTAAAGGCATTGGTTGTGGACATAAACAGATTCTTTAGGGATGCGCCGAATTTTATGAATCAGTAACAAATAAGCCCGGATTTCCGAAAACACCACCTTCAGAAGCCCTTTGGTAAGTGGCCACGCACATGGTGGATATCCAAGAGGCACAAGCAGATAAGGTGATGATCCGCTAGAGCTGTGTGTGGCCCAGCAGGGAGTGGTGGAGACTGCCCCACGCACCGTAGCTCCCGCGTCCTGCCTGAAAGGAAGGGGTAGCTGGCGCTCAGGCCCAGAGATTTCATTTAACTGAAAAAGCGTGAGGCTGCTATTAATATTTTTACTGTCTTACATGAAGGGTTGGAAACCCATATTTTACGTAAATGAAGACAGCAGATTTAGCTAAAAAGCAGCAAACGCAAACAAAACAAAAAATGCACACTAAAAGCAATGAGTAGACTCAACTAAAGCCTAGTAATTGGCTAAGCAGCATTTAGCCCGACAGCTTGCCACCTAAGGGAAAGGGCTGTTCTGGGTTGGGTGTTGTGTTGACAATGGTGAACCGCGCTACTTCAACATGGTCTGAACGGTAACTGCACTGTTCAATCTTCTAAAGATGCAGTCCCGTCGTTCTTCTGAAGCTTGGCTAGACTCTCTACAGCGAGCGGCCTGGGCTGGAAGTCATACTTCGAAGTGAGTGGGTGACCATGGAAATTAACCCAGAGTCAATTGTGCCCCAGGGACGGCCCCAGCACGTCCCTCGTCACTGGGGTGCGGGTGCTGGACAACTCTCTCAACTTGCATATCGATACCCTTCCACTCAGAAAGTGGGTGACAAGAGCGTGGGAAGTCAGTGAAAACCCAAGCCCGCCCCGACTCTTCGCCAGGTTGAATTGAACCTGTTAAAAACCACTCCGCTTGCATTTGGAAACAACTTTGACCAGGGGCGACGCTCTTAGCTGTTAACGCTTAACACTAGGAACGTCTGTACTGATTTTTTTTTTCTCACGCCGGTTGGTTTGTTCACTCATTCAGCTGGCACTTCTTGGACCTGCAAGTACCCGGTTCCCATTTAAATTACAGTTCCAGCCGTGACTAGAACTGCCGGGTAGATCCCTCACGCCCCCACCACGGCAGCAGCTGGCCAGTGGACTAGCACAAGAGTACTGAGTTACGTAGGCATGAGGTGGCTGCTCCAAGGTCAAGGCCTGGAGGCCGGTACGGTACCCATCCCAAGTGCAGAAGTACACTTTTTGTGTAAGAAAGCACAGTGTCCTTATAAAGTGGGGTCAGCGAAGCTGCGCCCAACCTGCAAAGACAGAAATAGGGTGGGGTGTAAGTAAAAATAAAAACATCGCCATCTCCTGTCAAACGCAGTGGGTTTGGGAGGAGCAGGGGGAAGAGTTGAGGGGAGGGCGGGAGAATAGCTCAGTGCATGAGTAGCTAGGCCAGAACGCAGTGGTGACAAACAGTCGTAGGAAGTAGGAAGCCCTGGGTTAGGTCACGGCGTGATGCTAACGAAGGCTTGGCTCAGGACACGCACTTGGGAGAGCAAGTCTGCTCACACTCATTAACTACTCACGCGGCACAAGCGAACCACTGTGCTTTTCTAGGGCAGCTACCCGGCGAGCAATCACTGGGACTCAGGCCCTTGGGAAGATGGAGGTGTGAGGCAGGCAGCCTCCCCTGTCATGAGCAAGAGTCTTTAACTCTCTAGGCATCACCACACAGCTGTCTGCCTCGCCTTTCTTCAGGAGTTAGGATTTCCGACATAGCACAGCTTGTTATATCATTCTGGACGCAGGGGTACAACTTTTTGTACAGGTCTGGGCATGGGGGTGGGGGAGGAGGGTCTGGGGTTTGAACCCAGGGTCTTGTGAGTACCAAGCATGCTTCTACCTCGGAGCCAGAGCTCCAGCCAACCCCTTGGCGTGTGCTCTCCAGGACAAAGGAATAGAACACATGCTTCGGTGTAGACTAAACATGATCACACAATGGCTATGACGGACTGGCCTAGAGAACACCCAGCCACACTTACTGTCTTTTGTAGGAAGGGATGCACGCTGGTAGAGACTACATCTGCTGCTCGGTCCATCCCTGCAAGGATGGCGTGTTCTACTGTGAGTCGCTAGGTAGTCATGGCCGGCATCTACCCTTTTGTCCGAGTTTTATGGTGCATTAAGTGCTGCTTGCCTAGTTCTGTGGACCACTGACGTCTCTGCATCCTTCCCAGGCTCTCCCCATGCTCCCTGGTGCTGCACTCTCCTAAACTCTATCCCCTCTTTCTGGATGTTGCCTTTAATGGAGGTGGCATATGTCTGGGG